CACACGCGGGCCGGAGCCGGGCGCGAACACTCTGGGGACCGGGACGCGCGGCCGTGCGCACCGCTCAGCTCTCCTCTAATTCCCGGCGTCTCTGACCCACACGGTTCCCCCGTACGTGATCTGCCCTCCTTCAGTATAGGGACGAAAGCATGCGCCAGAACTCACAGGGTGATTTAAAACGTTAAACATATAGTGAGCGGACAAAACGATCAAAGATCCGACTCTCACTGGCTAAGGTCCGAGCGGGAAGTGCAATCCGGGGAGTCTCGCTTCTAGGGAGCGCGTCAAGACGCCAGGCTGATTAAGCGCTACCTGGCCCGAGGTGGGGCACCGGAAGGCCAGGAGACTGATACACCGGCCAGATCAAGTTTGAAATGCAAGCCGCCGCCACTTGGCCCCAATTAGAGGCCAAACCTTTTATGTAAACAAGGAATAATTAGCTTTGGTAATAGAAGCGTAAACAGAATCATCATCCATTGATTTGCTAATTGCCCTCCCGTCCCATGACAATAGCCAGCATTCTGCTGTAGGTCGGACAGACCCTGTGCACCAGAGGACAGGTAAAGGGGTGTTGCACTCTAAAGTGGGGGCGGTCAGCTCCAGGCTCTCCCCCCCACACCCTCCAATTGGGTGGAGGGATCTCAGACCCCCTATTTTTCCTGGCTGTCAGTGCAGCTCTATCCTCTTCTCTAACTAAAAGGAGGGAATACCAGGCTGGGTGGTTTGAACGGCAAAATTCCAGTGGAGGCCAGCCTGGCTAGGGTCATGAAATTCCTGGACACTGCAGTTGCCCCCCAAAAGTTGCCTATCTTTGGCCCAGAACTCACGAGCCCCAAAGTCCCTTTTTAGCAGCATTTGCCTACCTCAGCCTGCCCCCAGGACCCCTAAATTCAAAGTCAAATCGCATTACTTTTGTTCACAGCCAGTTATACTCCCAGTTGCAAGACATCTGGGAAGTTGCCGGAGGCCAGTATGCCCGTAGGAGTTTATGGGCATATCCAGGTTGCAGGGCATGGAATCCAACAAAAACATTAACGGGACTTGGTGGCGATACAATGCTACCAGCACCAGGTAACTTCCTCAGCTCCTGAGGACTTCTTAGACTGAAAGCTGAGGGGAAAATGTCGCACCTCCGCCTCAAAATTCCATTTACATAGCAGTTAGCACAGGCTGGGAAAAGGTTGCAGATGTCCACTTCAAAGCCTGGGTCCCCACTGTTCGAGCCAGGAAGAAAGGCTATGAGCTCTTTGGTGCCTGCCTTCAAATCTTAGGATCCTGTGTCATCTCGGGGCTGACTGGCCCCCAGCCTGGTCTGTCCGGGGTGGAGCCCGACCCCCTTTCCATGGAGGGCACTGACTACCATCATGACCAGTTTTATTGTCCTCCTGAGGAAGGGCACAGGCCCTGGAACTATTGCCCCCTTCTGTCTCCTCCCCACCTCCCACCTTCCCAGAGACATACCTTTGTCTAGGACGGGCCCAAAAATGGCCAGGCTGTCATCTATGGTAGTGCAATTCCAGCGGCGACCCCGGAACTGGTGCTGGCACTCCTGGATGCCCAGCTTCACACCCTCAGCCACACTGGGCATGATCTCTATATAATTGCGGCAGAAGCGCAGTTGCTTGGGGACCAGGCCTGGGATGGAGCCACAGAGCAGGGGCTGTGAGCCCAGAGATGTGTACTGCTGGCCCAGTGCCAAGGACCTGTGGACAGACAAGAGGGAGATGGTTTTGTGGGCACAAACGCACAGCCCGGCATGGGCATCACTTCTTAATGCACCCTCTAGGGTAGGTGGAGGAATGGAGGGCTTATTGGCCTCAACCTTAAGGCCGGAAAAGCCTGGTGCCTACACTTGCATGCTGCCTTTGCCAGGCAATGATGTGGGCACTCCCAGTTTGCAGGAGGACAGGGACCATCTGAACCTCTCATGGGAGCCCTTGGGGCAATGCAAAGCCGTGAAAAGAACCCTGGACTAGAAAGACAGTACTTGGGCAGATCAAGCTTTTTCGTTGCCTTTCAAGTCCCTGATGATATTGAAGGGATGGGAGATCTAGAGAGTCCAGGATTCAAGGGGCTTTGAGGAGATGGCAGTGATTTATAGGAAGGAACCCTAACCCTAAAGGGAGGAAGGCAGTAGGAAGGCTAAGGACCTTAGCCCCATCTCAGAAAAAGAGGAGATGCATCAGTCCGAGCAGAGCTTATACATGTGTGTATTCATTTTGAGCACAGGCACACCACCGTGGCCATGCCCCTTGGCTTCCTTGCTGGGATGCTGCCTGCTCAACCCGAAGCTCCCTAGTGTCTTCCTTGGGAATCTGCGCCACTACGACCTCTGCACACCAGGGCCTCCGTGGACATCTTTACAATTCTGTAGACGTTTCTATTCTACGTTATTTATGTTTGCAGTGCTGGAGGTTGACGCCAGGGCCTTGATCATGCTAGACAAGCACCCTAGAAGTTTCTAGAGTGCCACCTTTCTTTTTGCCAGAGTTTGGAGCTCAGCTATGTTTCAAGACAAGTTTAGCTCAAGGTCAAGAGAAAGACCCCAGCTGTCACTCTCACCACCCAACACAATGTGACTTTGGTCAAGGCATCTCAGTCTTCTGCCCACTTTTCAATCAGGACAGTCCACAGGAGGAAAGGTCTTGTGGAGGGGATGGGGAGTTTGAATACATCAGAAAACAAAAGCAGTGTGGGAATTTCTCATTTCCCATTCCCTCCCTAGCACAGGAAGAACAGAAATGATGTTTTGTGGGAGAAGCCAAGAAAATGACCTGTGGATCTCAGTGGGATTTAAAGCCAGTTGTGATCAGCCCCGTGATGTGAACAGAATGAGCTGAAGCTCATAGAACCCATCTCCTCACCTGCTGTGTCCAGCACTGACCAAGGCTTTGGTCTAGCACTGGTCTAAGACAAGTTATCCGTGCAAAGTAACAAGGTGAGCCCTGGAAAGAGGACAAGAGAAAACCCCAGGGCTGGGGCAGTAAAAAGCCACCAACATTTTCCGGGCTGGGAAGAGGGATGAACAAAAGATCAGGCCTTGTATCCATTCCTCCCATGTGCCACGCTCTGGATACAGCAGCCTTGACTGACGTGAACGTGAAGAATATTCCTTGTCCCCTAGATGAGGATTCTAGGGCTCACAGAATGACTCCGCCTGCCCAAAGCTTTTGGTACCAGGCTGTGGTAGATCAGAGAGCACTATGTGCTGCTTCGCCGTGATGATTCTCCCTTACTTTGGCTTGCTCCTAGCTAATACTTAGAAACTCCAAGGGATGGAGTTCTCTAGGGAGTGCCCACCTGCCTGGGGCTGCCTCTGGGCTCAGTTGCCAGGAGTAGAAGCAGGCCCTGGTTTTTCTGCATTTATTTATTTAGGGAGGAGGGATTGGGGAACCAGGCCTGGGAGTCTGGATGGTGACATTTATGAAATATTTCCAGATCTCAAGTACTGAGCCCCCCTTTTTTAATTGATTGATTGATTGATTGGAGACAGGTCTTGCTTTGTAGTGTAGGCCGGCCTTGAACTCACCGTATAGCCCAGGCTGGCCTCAAACTCATGGCAATCCTCCTGCTTCAGCCTCCCAAGTGCTGGGATTACAGGTGTGCACCACCACACCTGCACATTGCACCCATTTAAAAGGCAGGAAGAACAGCCTGAAGGTCTGATTTACCACTGTTACCACTGTCACTGGCTAATTGCTGACTTCCTCTGTGCTGGACTGAGCCCTTTCCTCACTTGGCCTCCATTTTTATCTTCATTAACAACTTAGCTCGTAGTGGGGTCTTTAATAGAAGCCTTGTTTTTAAAGATAGTTTAACCAGCCCAGTTCACAGAGCTACTGAGTCACTCGTGGTAACTAAGCGTCCTGACTTCCTCCCTGCCTGGCTGGCAATGTGCATCCCAGTCCCCAGGGGACGGATATGGCTTCAGGCCTGAGTGGAAGAGACCCAGTGAGCCCAGAGGACAAACACTGCTTGATGGGGGCCCTGCATGGTGTCCTCTCCTGCCCCTTCCCTTTGTATAGTAAAGAACAGGTAAACGTGATGATAAAATACTTATCAGTCACTGGGCACAGTCCCAGGTGCTATTACCTTATCGAATCCTTACAGCAGGTCTGTGAGTTTGAAACTTCAGCATCATGGCTGCTGTCTCATTTCACAGACAAGGACTCTGAGGCCAGGGAGCTGAGTAACCTGCCTGGGTCTGCAGGGCCGTGAAGTACCAGAGTTAAGCCCCTTCCTTCCTGGCTCAGTCAGCCTCTCCCGCATTCCCGCACCCCACCCCGTGCTAGAGATCAAACCCAGCCTCGTGCTTGTGACCAGTGGGACCAGCCCTGTCCTGCTAACTGGCCTCACAGCCACTAGACAGGGAAACCGGGCGAGGGCAGCGTAGACAACTCAGCCCAGCACCATCCAGTCACTCACATTCTGGGTAAGTTCCCTTCTTTACATCAAGCCCTGTCTCATGCCTGCAGCCCGGGTCCAAACAATTGTACACCCAGGAGCACCAAGGAGCCAGGAGGCGCGGCTCACATCCAGGTCACTGATCTAAACAATTGCTTTAGCCTCTTCCTCCTCAGTTTCTTCATCTGTAAAGTAGACACAATGCGAAGGAGACAAGGAGTAACCCCCAGTGCCTCGCACACGGGAAGCCCTGAAAAAATGGTAACCAACTGTGTGTGGCCAGGGGCTGTCCCCGGCACTTTGTCTCCCACTTTTGTCGCCAGCCTCAATTCCTCCCATCCCTGCATTTCTGACATGGGACAGCACATCGGAACTTTCAAAGTCCCTTCCTATCCAATGCTGGGAAGGATGCCTTGGCTCACAGCAGAGACCTCTTCCCTGGCAGCTCAGTCCTAACAGGGCTGGTGAACAAAGACCTTTGTGATCTGGCAGCATGTAACGCAAAGGGAAAGGGCAGAAGGACATTTCCAGGATGCTCCATTCAGAGGTTTCAGCTCAGATCGGGACAGCCTGCTGGTAATTAGCAAGGGCCTCTGGGGTGGAGGTTTGGCTCCAAGGGCTGGTGTTGGAGCTAATGAGGTTGTGGCCGAGGGATTGATTTCTTCAGGAGAGCTGCTTCCCCAACATGCCCTGCCACCCCTGACCTGAGCGCGAGCTCGCACATGGCCACCTCTGCCATTCCACCATCACAGACACAAAAATTTCACTCGCTACTTCTTCTCTCCATTATCAAAGCACACGTTCCTCCAGGGGAGACAACAGAGGGAGCGTCAGTCTCCTCGTTTCTTTCTACCAAAGTGTGCGTGGCTTTGATTACATTTGCCTCGCAACCCATCTGCTCCCCACCTCCATGCCTTTGCCCAAGCTGAGCCCTCTCCCAGGAGTGGCTTTCCACCCCTAGGAAACACCTCACCATCCCTCACAACCCGAACATGCACCCAGCCAGAAGTAACCCCTCCTCCCTTTGGAGGTTTCCTGTGCCTTGCTCAATCAAACTTTCTCATCACTAAGTGCTCCAGTGGTTTATTCCCAACACCGTCTAGCCAGGAGAGTGTAGGTACCCAAAGATGGGGCTGTGTCTCCGTGTCTCCTCCTCCTTTTCCAATCCTTCCCCAGGACGCACACGTGTGCGCCTGCGTGCACCAGCACACTTGGCCTTCCACAGGGCCAGGAGCGTATGTACTTGCTGACGCTCAAGGCAAGGAATAATGGAATGCCCCGGTAAGAGCCTGGTGTCCCTCTCTTCCCAGCTCCAGGAATCCGGAGGTCCCACCTACACACAGGACAAGACTTCTTGGTTCCGCTGAGGAAGTTCCTACGTTTAGGATCTCAGATGATGGCCAGGCTCCCAGAGGAGGTAGGGATCTGCCTGGCACTGGCAGCTGGTGAGGGGGAAGGCAGAGACTCCTGCCATGCCTTCCCGCTCAGGCCAGGGTCTATTTATTCTCAGTCCCTGCCCCTGTCCTGCCCAAGGGTTCTGCCACTTTCCCCTTGGGAACAGCTCACCCTCCACCCCAACCACCCACTGCAGTCAGGAAGATGGGCAGCAGGTGCCGGCAAGCTACCAGCTGCTGGTGGAGACCTCGATGCTGACCTCTTAGGCTGAGATAATTTATCTATCTGCTTATCTCTATCTGGGTGTCACTGTGTAGCCAGGCTGACCCCAAACTCAAGCTGATCCTCCTGCCTCAGCCTCTCAAGTGCTAGGATTACAGGTGTGCATTACCACACCTGGCTAAACAAAAATCTTAAGCAAACAGCTCAGATCAGCCTGTGCTGAATTGGTTCTACACTGTCACCACAGTTCCTGTCCTGACCCATCGATCTGAAGCCCTGTGCTGGATGAGGAGCCTCCCCTGCACCCAAACCTGGATTTGTTTTGTTTTTGTTTTACTCTTGTTTTGTTTTACTTTAGAACTTCCTAACATAGGAATTTAGAGATTGAAGGGACATCAAGGATCACCTAGTTCAAGATGTTTCTTATTTGTTCCCCACATTTTTCCAAATGTGCACTCACCCAGTCCTCTCTTCTCCCTGTATCTAAAACAGATACAGTTCTGCCACCTACCTCGCAAGCACAAGGTCCCAAGTTCAATCCCCCGTACCAAAAAACAAACAAACAAATGAAACAGACACAGAGGAGCCTCTTCCTCAAAAAAGCTAAAGAGAATTACCATAGAATACAGAATTTCACTGTAGGTTTCTGTCCAAAAGATCTGAAAATGGGGTCCCCAACAAATACTTGTCCACCAACATTTGTGGCAGATGAATGGCAACGTGGAACACAGATACAGCGGCGTAGCATTCGGTCATGAAAAGGAAGAATTCCCGACATGTCACAAGATGAACCTTGATAACATTATAGTAAATGAAACAAGCCAGGCACAAAGGGATAAATATTGTGTGACTGAACTTGTGAAATATCCTGAGACGGAAGTGGATTAGAGATTGCTAGGTGCAGGGGAAATGGGGGTATAGTTTTTGTTTGGGATGATGGAAAAGTTCTGGAAATAGTGGTGATGTTTGCACAACCTTGGAAATATATGTAATGCCTCTGAATTGTACACTTAAAAATGATTAAAATGAGAGAAGGGTGTCTCCCTGGATCCTCTTCCTTCAACTTTCCCTTCAGCCCCCACTAAAGACCCTCTCTGCAGGATGCAAAAGCCACTTGTCTAGTCTAACCCCGTCCTCATTGCATGGCTCAGAGACACTCATTTTCCCAGCTTGCACAGTTGGCTGGGAGGACAGCAGGGGCAGATCCTAGGGCTGGAAACTACCACCAGGACTCATCTCCCGGCACCGTGCGGCCTGGCTGGAGCAGACATCACTGTCCTGTAACCCACCAGGCCCTAACCTTGGAGATGATAAACACACATTCTCAGAAACTACTCTAGGACAAGGCACAGAGTAGAAGGAAGGGACACACCCACAGTCCCCTAAGGTAGGAGGTGGACCCCAGCACTGCAGCCCAGGGAGAGGCTTCCCTCCTCCTCCCACCAGTCTTGGGGTGAGTTCCACGGCCAACTTCCTCCAGACGTGCTTTTCTTGAAATCGTAGGCTCCATGCCCTCCCCTTTTCCCTTGCTGTCTCTGCCAGGTAGGGCATCGTAAGATTCTGATTCAAAAACCTAGTGTCTCTTAAAATCCTGTCAAGGGTTCTTACAGGAAAAGGGAAGAGTGGAAACTCCTTTGTGTTCACTTGTCTCTTCTTCTACAGTGGCCCGGGGTGTTTTGATGAGCTCTCCAACGGCCCAGTGCTAGATGCTCCACATGCTGGCTCCTGAGCAGTTCTAGACAGAGGCCTGCCCTCCCCCTGAGTCCAGAGGAACTCCGTCTTGGCCTAGAGCAACATGGAAACTTCTGGAAGGAGAAGGGCTTGAGAAATGACCAGTGGTCTTGGAACTCAAAGCTCACTGTTTTCCACTCAGGTCAAGAGGCAATGGTCTCAGGAGCACTCGGCAAATTCAGACACTTGTGCCCAGTTTATCATGGAAGGAGCTAGGCCTGCTGGGCCCTCATGTATCCAATTCCTAGAACTCTCAAAGAACTGCTCCCATCATGGGAACCCATGGACCTGGACCGGAACCGCTCACCCTGGTGCCTTGGCAGTTAACTTGTGACAAAGCAAAGGAGAGAATTAAATGAAGATCCACAAACTGCACCTTTCCTTACTTGTCCCCTGACCCTCTCGGAACACAGAGTCCTGGTTGGTGTGTCCTGAGCATAGATCTACGTCCTTCTCAACACACTGGTGCAGAGCCAAAGGGGCTCACATGGTGCTGTGGTGTGGTGGCCTTTGGAGGGTTTCTAGATCTCCAGTGGCTGCCTCTCATCAGAGAAGTAGATATGTTGCCAGTCATATAATCCCAACATTCTGGGAAGCTGAGGCAGAGCGTCACAAGTTTGAGCCCAGGCTGAGCAACTTAGTGACTTGGCAAGACTCTTTCTCAAAATAAAAACTTTTTAAAAAAGGGTTGGGACCGGGCATGGTGGCGCATGCCTGTAATCCCAGCACTCGGGAGGCTGAGGCAGGAGGATCTCTGTGAGTTCAAAACCAGCCTGGGCTACAAAGTGAGTTCCAGGTCAGTCTCAACTACACAGTGAGACCCTGTCTCAAAAAACAAACAAACAAAAAAGGGTTGGGGACATAACTCAGTGCAAAGGCCCTGGGTTCACACTCTCAAAGAATGAGCAAAAAGTGACAATGCCTGTTGACCCTTCCCATTTATCACAGCTTCATTCACTCCACAAACATGGGGGCTGTTGGCTCTTCCTTGTCTCTGGCAGGGGCAGGGAGAGAACCGAGGAGGGCGAGAGATGAGCCTGTGGAGAACAATGGCAGGAGCTGCGGAGCCTACCAGGCAGAAGTTCCTGCCATAAGACCAGGGCCTCTGGAAGACAAGAGACACGTGCAGCAAATGGAGTGCCTGGCTTAGCGAGTAGGTTAAAGCCTTTCCTTGGTAAACACACATCCACTCACCGCCTGTTCACTCAACACACACAAAGGGGATGACTCTGAACCTGACGGAGCTCCAGGGACTAGGGAGCGTGGAGGTAACTGAAGCAGCAACAAGGAGTTCCCAGACCAGAAGGCATCCGTTCAAGAAGAGACCAACAATCTCGTGGTAAGGGCACCCTACTCTCAAGCAGGGCAAGTGGGACCCTACTACCAGGAGTAGGAGCAGCCCCGAGTCTTGTGAAGGTGGCCAGGGTTCCCTCAGGCACCGCCTTGCAAGGGAACTGCCTCAGGCTGGGAAGCAAGAAAGGGGAGAGCAGCTGGCACACCCAGCTGAAGTCTGAGGCCACAGAGGAACAAAGTAGGTAGAGGCTAAAGAGGGCTGGGTGCTGGGCTTTATTCTGAAGCTTCCAGGGCTGGCCTTTGGACTTTTGATCTGTCAGTCCCATACAAAGCAGGACAAGGTGTAGGCACTGAAGACCAGAGGCTGGGGAGGCAGCTGCGGGGGGGTGGTAGCAGTTGGTGCTAAGGAGATTCTGAGACTCGGCTGAGCACTGCAACCACGCAAGGCCCGGATGTCACCGGTCTGGGGTGAGCCAATTGTGGAGCTGGGCTGAGAACTACCTGCCTAGGTTAATGCCTAGGTCTATGGCCAGGGTGGCCCCTCCGGTCATCTCAGGACAGTGGCCTTAGGAGCCAAGAGGAAACCATGAATAAGGATCAGGGAAATAAGGGGAAAGAGGAAAGCGTAAGGTTTTGAGCCAGGGTGGACCAGTAAAATGGAGATGGTGTCCACTAAGACTGAGCATGTAAAAGGTGAAGCAGCTCTAGCAACAAAGATGAAAACAGGCTTGTGAGGCCAGGACACCTGCGGCACCCACCCTCATACAGTTGGGAGGTGTTATGCTGGAGCACAAGAGGAAGAGGGAGGCTAGACATTCATATTTGGGGAGCTGTCTTGGAGCTGGAGTTGAATGATACCTTAGGCCTGGCCCTGCTACAGGTGTCCGAGAGGCTGGGCCAGCCAGACTCACAGACCAAGGCAAGAAGGGCCCCAAGAGGGTGGCGGGCAGGCTGGCCAGCCTCAGGGGGCTGAACCTCACCCAAGGAACCTGGAGAATCTGGAGCAGGAGGTAGGGGAGCTCACCAGAAGTCTGCAGGAGGCAGGCTCTTCACTTTCCAGGAGAGGTCCCATGGAGGCTGACAGCTTGTGCGTCCTTCCTTTTCTCTGCTCTGTCCTGTGCTTTGCTCCTCACTGGGCCAGAGCCCTGGTGCTTGCTAAGCCCTCCAGCCATCCCTTCCTCACCCTGATTCTTCTACCACTCTGAGCTGCTGAGGCCCAGGCCCCTGGGGACCAGGTTCAGGGTCTGACCCTAAGGCTGACTCAGCTAAACCGGGGCCCACGGGATTTTGTGCAGTCCTTCCTGGGCCTGTCACACTGCACTGTATAACCAACATCATCAGGAGCCTGGCGGGAGCAAGAAGGCAGGGCCTCAGGGAAAACCTGAGGGAAAAGAGGGTGTTCCAGGTCAGTGGTCCACCTGGGGTAAAAAGCCCACGTGTAAGAAGAAAACCAAGCCAGGCGTGCTGGTGCACACCTGTAATCCCAGCACACACTCAGGAGGCTGAAGCAGAAGGATTTTCATGAGCTCAAGGTCAGCCTGGGCACCACAGTGACTTCAAAACCACCCTGAACTACACATCAAGACCCTGTCTACAAAAAAAAAAAAAAAAAAAAAAAAAAAAAAAAAAAAAAAAAAAAAAAAAAAAAAAAAAAAAAAAAAAAAAAGCAAAACCAAAGTCTCTGTCTGGGCAGGTGTAAGGGAGAGAAGTTGGGCCGCTGAGAGCCATGCAAAGCCAAGGAATTGTCCAAAACCAAGAACCTTATATCCATCCTGACTGTGGCTTGGTGAGCCATTTGTTTGGGGAGTAAAGGGAGAGGTCACCGAGGGAGTGACAGACTTTAGGCTGGAATGTTACAGTTTCTGCTCTCCACAGCAGTGCCTGGCCTGGCCGGAGGCTTCCTGGCCTGATAAGGTGTCACAAGACACAAGCCTGAAAAATGCTGAAATCTGTGAAATGCTTAAACCTGTGTTTTGTTGTGTTGTGAGCCTGAAGGTCCCCTCAGTCCATTTTCCAAGAAGGTGGAGTTGATCTGAGAGGAGAAAGGAGGAGGTGGGAGAGAGGGACTGTGTACTTGGGCCAAGTGGGGGCAAGGCCTGAACCAGGATGGTGGGTCCAGGGGAGGAATAAGGAAGGTTGGAACTGATGGGCAGAAGGCGTCAGAGAAGTGAAAGGGGGAAGGGAGGCAGGGAGAAGGCAGAGGGAATGGCTCCTACAGTCCTGGCCCGCCCAGCAGCTCCACCCGATCCCCCAGCAGGACTGGGCACCCCCAGAGGATACCAAGATCTTCACCCAGAAAGAGTCCATAGGAGGCAGGGAGGAGCCTGAGCCCAGCACATTCAGAGAGGGCTGAAAGTGCAAGGACCACACTAGGGGCTTCAAACCCGAGACCCACAGAAGGTCTCCCTGAGAGTTACCAAGACCCATCTCCACAGTGGTGTAGGGGATGGCTCCCCAGAGCGCAGGCCAAGAGCTTGGTCTGCTTCTCCACCTTGCCAAGCAATTCACAGTTGAGCCCATACATTCTCTGCCATTCAGGGCCTCACCTGCAGAGCAGAGCTGCCTTGAGACATGCTCAGTTAGGCTATGTTACAGGGTGAATCGAGGCCCAAAGATGCATTTGGAGTCACAAATGCTGCCCATCAGTGTCAATGACTCCTAGTTCCCTCCAAATGGGCCCAGTCTAGGTAGGTGGAAAAGAAAGCGGGGGAAGGACCAGGTGTCCTCTGGAGTGCTTGCTGCTTATAAGGTAGATGTGCAATAAAATGCACACCTGTTTAGTAAGCGTCTTTGCCTGAGCAGATTCTCTTGCTGGCCTCTGACTAGCTGGAGGAAGGTGGGTGAGACCTAGGAGGGACCTGGAAAGGCACCGGAAGTCTCCTGCAAATAGCCTTATGTATCTGTCATTCTCTTACAGTGCCAGGTTGCAAAACGTCAAAGCTGGGTGGGAACTCGGTCATCATTCAGTCCTGTTTCTTGGGAAAAACGAGTCCTGGAGAAGTGATGTGACTTGCTCAGTTAGAACGAGTTAGAGGCAGTCCAGGGTGTTCAGCCCGGGCCTCTGACACCCAGCCAGAGCTCTGTGTCCTTTACACTCCACAGATCCTTCTCAGAGTCTCCCAGACCACCGTCCAAGAGCTGGGACTTCACTCAGTACCTGCGTATTATCTGCCTAGGGTACAGGAGATGGGCACCTCCCAACCAGAGCTGGTACCATGGTCAGTGGCAGATGTCTCATTTGCTGCGGGAAGTCAAATAGAATACTGCATAGGGAGGACCTCCGTAGGGAGGAACTGGGAGGATTTCAGAGAGATGACATGTGACCTAGGCCTGAAGTACAGTTCAGCTTGGACATCTTTTTCTCCAGGGACTCTGCCATTTGTTTCTTTGCCTCCCCATCTATCAATCTGAGTTCTAATTTAAACTTAACACTTCTTCCCTTCCTGACCATCCAGGTCTGAGGGGTTTATCTCTCGCTTTACAAATGGGGAAATGAGAGCCCGATAAGGCCAGATTATTTGTCCTGAGAAGCCAAGTTTGCTGCTTCCCAGGCCAGGATTTTGTTGGTCTCCACATCACTTTCCCTTTGAAGCCCAGTTCTGGTAAAACACAAGACAGGCTGCCCCACTGTCCTATTTATCCCTCAAGGTCTAATTTTAAAATCCCAGCTTACTGACTCCAATTTAAACTTCCCTCTAGTCATTTTCCCAGCTCTTACACATACCTCTGAGAACATTTAACACATTCAATTGAACTGTCCATCATCTCTGTTTCTCCACTACAAATAAGTCTCTCTCTTTTTTTTTTTTTTTTTTTTTTTTTTTTGGTGCCAGGGATCAAACTCAAGTCCTTGCACTTGCAAAGCAGGTGGCAGAACCACTGAATTCAATCCCTAGCCCCCAGATAAGTCTTTTGACAAGAGCAATTCCTTCACTCGCTTGTAGGTACTAGGCTGAGTGTCTAATTCATCAATGAGGATGGTGCCCCTGTGAGGGTCTTCTGTCCTCCTTTTGCTGTTCCAAAGCATTCCACTGGTTACCCTAGCCATCCCTCATCTCCCCCATATTGCATAGGATGCCACCATTACAAGCCTTAGACAGGTAATGGCCCTGCTCAGTCTCTGGGCCATTTATACAGCTGCTAGCTCCACAGGCTGGAAACCCTTTGTCTGAGTCTCAGAAGCACTCCACTAGGGCCCATAGAGCTCATTCTAGAGCAGCTCTCAAGCTCCCCAGAGGGCCACCAGCCTAGCATATGTCTTCATTCAAAGAAAATTGGGTCAGTCCTGTACTGAATGCTGGAAATCAGAGATACGCATAGGAACACTCCTGATCTTGCAAGAATTCCCAACTCCAACAATAGCTTGGAAGCTGCCCCAGGTGGCCCACGTTCCTCCCCTATGGGAGCTCACATGTCACTTTCTCTGCCTCACCACCAGGGCTGGATCCTCAAGGACCTCACCTACCTCCACTGTCCCACTCACTCCCTTACATTACACCCTTTGGAGGCCCAAGGACATTCACAGACCAGCTGGCTGCTAGGGTCAAGGAAGTAGGCAGGATGCTGGTGGCCAGATCACTTGGGGGCGGTTTTGAATTAACCCAGACACTTGGGCTCCAACACCAGACCTGCTGGACCAGACCATCTGGGGAGGAGTCCAGAAAACGGGCTCATTAAAAACCTCCCCCAGAAGTGTGACAATAGGAGGGTAGGAGATGGTGCAATCTGAGGTGCCCAACCTCCCCTATAAAGTTCAGTGACCAAAGATGTTTCATCTGCATCTAACACTCTTTAAGAGGCAAACTTTGGTTACTTGGGAAACCTGGGGGATAGAGGAACAAACTAAATGGTACCATGGGGAAGCAACTGGACAATTTCAGAACATAGGACATTCTGTGAAGCAGGCAGTAGAACCACTGAGCCAAATCCCAGGCAATATAGGACATTCTGAAAGACTATACAGGCCTAAACTCGTCAAAAGGTCCATGTTGGTTTTTAAAAGCATTAGGGCAGCAGTTTTTCCATAACAAGGGAAAAATATATCGCTTACTACAGTTTGTCTGCTTCCCTCCACTGGAATGTAAGCTACATGAGGACAAGGGTTTTGATCCATTTTATTCATTTTTATATTTCCAAATCCTAGAGTGTTACCTTAATATTGAATTTATTATTAATCATTTTATTTTATTATTAATTATAATAAGCAATATCTATTTTTTAAAAGCATATGGGCATGTGGAAGAAATGTTTCACATTAAAACGAATTTAAGAGATGTAATAATCAAAAAATCGGAACTTGGTTTGGAAATCCTATCCATAAAGGCCTTTGGGAGTAACTAGAGAAATTTGAATCATTAAGAATTATTAATAATTTTGTTAAGTGTGACGATGGCTCGAGGTCAGGCAGTCATCCTTACGTTTTGGAAATGCTGCTAATAATGAATATAATTTAAAATTGTTCGGCAATTGTGTCGTGTGTTTGTGTGTGCATAAGTGTCAATGGCGGGGGTGGAGAAAATATGGCAAAATGTTAAATACAGTTTCACTAGGAAATGCTGTTCCTCCTACAGTTTTCTTCCCACCTCCCCACCCAGTGCTGAGGCTTGAACTCAGGACTCTCCAGCATGCTAGGCAACCGCTCTACTTGGAGATACACCCCCAGCGCTGATGAACTATCTTCACAATAAAACGGAATTACAACAACAAAAACTTCAAGTGACTTGTGGGGACGTCTGAAGGAACCCGCTCAGGGCTCGAGCCGTGGTTTTGAGGGCCAG